GATTTAATTACTGTACCCCGCAGGGACGACGAGTGGGGAGGCGGAGAGACTATTAAAAGATTAGGCGGTTTTTCTTTCATGTACGTCCGCCATTTTTAGGTCACTGGCTTTGTAAAGCTTGGCTTAATTCGTTGAGAATGCGCTCTTAATATAAGTACACATGACAATTGTTCAAAGAAACATCATGTTATAACAAACATCGTGTTTGACTTCACCATAACAAGTGAACATTTGTCTTACCTTTAACACATTTTACATCATATTGAAAACAAACATAGCATTCCACTTTAAATATAATGAGCACTTTCCTCACCTTCAATTTCTCATTTTGATACTCTATCAGCTTGCTCTTATCAATAATGCTGTCCTCCGTTTGGCCATTTTGTGGTTGTGTGTTGTTATGATTTTCGTCACTTTTCAAAGGTAATTCCTCCAACAATATCACTTTATCACTGCTCGTGTGGCTGTTTGTCGACAACTTATTTAGCGCTTTCCCAAGCTCCTCCTACAAAGAACAGAAATGAAATGAGTTAGATGATTGTCTCTTACATTTTGAATCAATTTTCTTGACTTATAAATCAATGATGAGTATGTGCACACTTGCAATCACCGCTACTGTTGCAAACCATCATACGGGCTTGTGACAGTTATGCAAAATAATTGCTTGATTTATAAAATGTCACAGTTCCCAAATGTCTATATTTCAATCATGTACTTGAGCTCATGATGCTCTGCCTATATAGATATAGAAAAAGACCTATAAAAATATTCATCACTGGCAAATGATATGAATCTCTCAAGCTGGTGATGACATGCAAAATTGTCTACAATATATATCAATAAATGTCTTTTTGATTTTAAATACTTATATTATTCAAAATTACTAATTACTCTCCTGAAAAGTCTCAAAATCTAGAGTACGCTAAGAGGAGAGATCACAAAATCACCCACTTAAAATACGTAGTGGCATGAGGTATCCATCTTTTGTGCTCCTATTTGCGTGTTTTTAAGGCACTTCTGTTCACTTTTTATAGTACCATATGCAGTCAGAACAGAATATGTCAACAGGACTGCCAGAAACAGACAAGTTAGGGTATTTCTGCACCAGATATCACATGAACAAGAAATGTCACTGTTTATCTGATATCTTCTATGTACTTCAACAATTTGAGTCACACTTTAAGAGGACATTCCACTCTAATTCACAAGAGGGAGCAACAGAGATCATATTCCCCCCTTTTGACATTCTTTAATTTTGACTACCCAGGGAAGATATTCTGTTTTTATTTGCGTGATCCATTTTAACACTACCCTCAACATTTTTGAAAAAAAAATTGAAAAAAAAAAATTAAAATAAATCAAAATATATCCCAGACAAAAGCCTTAACTTTCTCTTAAATATCAAAAGGAAGTATTTATTCAGAGATCAGCTTCATAAATAAAAAAAACAAAAGATTGGAAGTTCGTCTAAATATTAAGGATAAATATATTATAGTCTTCTAAAACAAAGAACTTTCTAGTCTTAAGCCTTAGTTATAATTTTCTCTTCATAAAAAGGCAGAATATCTCCTTAAAGAGGACTACTTCTGCTTTGTCTTATGTCAAATTGGACTAAATTTCGGCTATGAGAGCATTCACATCAAGAAGAGCCGAGGTCTAGCAAGGCCCAGACCTAAATATGGTGGACCTTCATGAAAGGCACACCGCGTAATCCTTTAATGGTCTCTCAATGACATTCATTCATATTTAGGTCTCGGCCTTGCTAGACCTCGGCTCTTCTCGATATGAATGATCTCTTAGACACCAAAGTCTTACTCCTCTTTGCATGGCGCATTGGATAAATCATTACTAGTAGTAGTCTAAATAAATTAAATGTTATAAAGGCACTACTCATGTTTCAAACTTGTTTATCAAATTTACCTTGAGCTGAAGTAGACAAAATTCCTGTTCTCCAAGTCAAGATTGACAATCTGTTTAAAGTATTTTGTAAAACCAGCCCCTGTTGTTCACAAGTCTAACCATGAGTGGGTGAGATTCATCATACCTAAGGTGTATCAAATTTTGGGAGGAAATTCTCCAGAAAAGATTGAATCATTCTGATTGCATGCATAACCAAAGAGTGGAAAAGAGAGAAGGAAAAAGAGGTCATAAGTTTTCACGTTACCTCAAATAAACGGTGATGACTGAAGCCAATGGCAATTTGAACGAAGTCATCATGCCTTATACAAACATACCAATATATTTATGAATACAAAAGAATTAATTAAGACTACTAAGTTTACATTTTATTAGTTTGTGAAGTGAAATATGTCAAGTTCCTAATCATATAACCTACAAAACAGGCTTTAAAATACAAAGTAGATCCTCCTCTCCTCCTAGTTCAAACTTGAAGATAAAAAGAATTGGGTTTGGCCACTTCAATCTACACAGTCACCACGCCTTGGCATTCTAATTGAACTGAAAAAAATATCACCACAACTGATTTAAGGCTGTGCCTAATTGACTTTGACAGCTCAATGACATGCTTAATTAAGGTGTTTTAAACAGCCCCCTCAAGAAGTCAATCAAGGATGTGACCATATTTTGGTCTGTTCAGACAAGACTATTTCTGACCCGATATTGGGTAAACTTTTGGCATCAAAGTTCAGGAGCACATTTTTGTCTAAAAACAGCTTTTTAGTACCCTGTTCACAATCTCCATGAGTAAAAGAAATAATTTTATTTTAAAAATTTTAGTTTGTCAGCATTTAGATAGCACAGGTTGTATTGATTGCAATCTGTGTCAGTGGATGCTAAGCATATCACAACGAAATAATCTGAAAAAAACTTCCATGTCAATCTCTTTTCAATACATCTCATGGAAAAACACAACCTCACAACATGCAAACTGTGCATACAAGACTGATTGCAATCAGTGTGATTGTGTCATTAGTATGTGAAGTAGATGGACTGTGGACATATGGTCCAAAAACTGTGCAAGTGAGTCCTGTAAAGCTGGGTGAAAGCTGGACAGTGCTGCCACACATTATATCCCAGACCTGAAAAGTTCAGGCAACCTTTGCATAGCTCAAATACCAAACTAACAGTTCTAACAATTTCCAGAGAACAGGGTTTCCCTGTACATACTGACTCAAAGATCAAGGCCACTTTCTGTATTTAAAAAGTGAATAAAAGCATTGCAAAAATATAAATAGAGAGAGAGAGAAACAGGGATGGGGGGAGGGAGAGAGATGTGCTTAGCCTCTACCAGCTTAACTGCAATCAACAAACTACGTTATACCTCACCTGAGTGGGTACTGGTTCATAGATTTTAAACTCCTTTCCAAGAACTTATATATGAAGAGAGCACAAAATGAAACTATTGAAACTAAGTCTTCTATGCCAATTTTCCCAAAGGTGCTGCAGATCACCAGAGTTAGTGCAGATTTTTATTAAAAATGTGGATATCTTTACTGATTTCTCTGCAATAGCCTTACCTGATAGCTTCAGCTTTCTAAATCCTTGCACATTTGTATCAGCTCTTTCCATTTAAAGTCCACATATCTTAAAAGATCTTAAAAGAGTCCATTACATTGTTTGAAAACATAAACTGATCCAGCTAATAAAATAGGAGAGTTAATGCAATCCTTCATCTTCTCTTTCAAATCTGGAAATTGTTCTGGTCTTTTCTTTCACTTTTACATGTACCACAGAGTTCAGTGTAACTGAATGCTATCATGTACCTACCCATATTTTGAACACTGAGACTTTAATCTGAACATTTGTATCCCTCAAAACTCACTGAAAACGAATCTGGCTGAAGTCATCTGTTTCAAAGTTGGAAGTTACTCATATCTATTCTTCCAATACTGCCACAATCACAAATACAAAACTGTATCAGCATCCATCTGAAATTCATTCATCTTGTCCTATACTCAACCGCGCCAGTATTTTGAAATTCAGACATCTCGTCAAATGCTAAACTGTGCCAGTATTTTGAAATTCAGACATCTCGTCAAATGCTAAACTGTGCCATTATTTTGAAATTCAGACATCTAGAGCTTGTCAAATGCTCAACTGTGCCAGTATTTTGAAATTCAGACATCACAGTAGATCTCCATCCCAGACATCACAATCAATCCCAGCCTCACTCACAGCAGTGATGACCTTAGAGCCTTGGCTTCTTATCTGGACCACTGCTACTGAGGAACTCTGATTTCCAATAAATCTGGTCCCTGGTATACACCCTCCTTTTTTATCTGTGGTTTACAACTTAGAAATAATATTCTCATTAAAATTCACAAGAAATTTGTATCTTGGTTTAACATTCCATTTTTGTTTTGTTTTGTTTTGTTATTCAGTACTTCAGCATTTCACTCTTTTAAGCAGCAAATTGTGATATAAATCTAAATGTACCCTGAACAATTTTGAAATCAGAAAAATATTTTCACACCATGAAATGACAAAAAACATGAAAGCTCCACTGATTTTTTTCACTCGCACAGCACTTCACTAAGATGCCAGTTCAACTAAGGTCAGATTCTTCTTCATCTTGGGAAATGATGAACTCTTGGCTTGGAAAAATCATTTCACTCTTCATGATCACTAATTACATAACCAAAAAACTATCAGTTGGCATTCCACAGCAAGATAAATAGTAATAGTACTCAAGGATTAATTTCTGCTGCCAGATGGCAACATCCTATAGACACAGTCTAGCCAAGTAAATGAAAGGGGTTAATTGGCAAAATAATTTCTTCAGTTTTTTATACTTTGTATTGTAATAAGCTTACAGGGAACAATCCAGTGGTAGAAAATAACCATATTTCTGTGGCCCATTTACTTAAAATTAAGTTACACTCCAGCCACTTTTTTCAAATTGTCTATTCATTCTTTGTCTCGAAGGTAAATACCACTTAACATTTGTCAAAATAAGATGCTAGTGTGTATATATGTATTTCTAATTTTTTTCCTTTCCTTTTCTCCAAAGTAAATACCATATACCATTAGGCAAAAAAAGTACAAACCTAGCATATCCATGATCCATCTAGCAAAGCCATAACAACATATCTTCAATCTATTTCCTTTTAATATTCCATGCAATTTGAGCAAACCTAGTTACAGCACTAATCAACTATGGAATGTGATAACCTTTTTACTTTCAACTCTTATCAGTATTCACATCATATTTTCTGATATCACCAAAATGAGCATTTTTCCTGTAAGCTTATTAAGACATTCCTATGGATTTTTTCCTCATTCTTTTTCCATTTTTTCACTGATTACATAAGGATTCGTCTGCTAACACTGCATGTTCAATTTCCATACCACAATTACATAAATACATTGCAGCAGTTAAAATATTATATAAGGGGCCTACAAATGGATAAACAAGGGGCATCCCAAGACGATCCCAGCAAAAAAAGGTGAATAAATCAAACTGCAACAAGCCCTAGAGCATACGCAATGGTATTTCAGAAAGTGGTTTATACTTCTATTACATATTCTCCTCCGCATACAGACACT